TGAGCCGCTGAGATGCTGACACGGTAGCAGCGACCATGACCTTTTATGTCCAGACCTGGGACGAGTACTACACCCAGGTACTGACCCTAGGAATCATCTCCGGCCCCGTTGAGGGTGTTCTCACCCTCTGCGTTGTGTTTGGGTTTACAGCACACATGGGTGGTGGTAGCTTCTGGCACCGGCCCATGCTGGAGACCATTGGACTCCCCAAGCCAGACTTCCTGCCGGACCAGCTCTACGAAATGGCCTTTACGCAGTGGTACATGGTCTATGGTGCGGTTCTCCTCTTCTTCGCCACCGGTTCCAGCATCGTGCATGTCATGAAGATTCGCAGCGAGCGTGGCCAAGACCCCATCAAGCCTCTCTTCGGCCTCCTTCCGCTGGTGGCCGTGTGGACCTTTGTTCCGGCGTACCTCTATCTTCAGCCGACCATCCTGGAAAACTACGCCATCCCATTATGTTTGTACGTTGGCCTGGTCAACGCGTATGCGGTGGGCAGGATGATCATCGCGCATTTGACCAAAACCAGTTTCCCATACTTCAACATGCTCCTGGTGCCTCTCGCTCTGGCTACAATTGACAGTGTTGGCGACAGGTACGGGATCTGGTCGAGCTTGCTTGGTGGTGAGGTTGGCCAGGCCGCTTTCCTGTGGGTGTGCTTGGGTCTGTCGATCGGCGTGTATGGTAGTTTCGTGGTGAGTATTGACAATCCCTCCAGTGGGCGGAAGGGCGCTGATCATATCCAGCATGATATCATCACGACGATATGTGACTACATCGACATTTGGTGCTTGACTATCAAGCATCCACAACCGCGTGTGGAGGTGGTTATCACAAACGGAGCCCCGAAGAAAACGAACTAGAGTATCGCATGTTGGTGTCGCATGACGGAAGTAATATCGCGATGGAGGAGTGACTTGCGGTGTATGATAGAGACGGTGTTATGCGAGCGTTAGGTGGCGAAGTCAACTTAGTATGCATGGAGGTGCCATTGGATAATGATGTCGTGAGTATTGTGCCGGGGGGGGGGGATGTGTCGGGTACATGTCGCCCGGATGAATCATTGTTTAGTCATGAGTTAAGAGTCAAGCAGCGTATATCATTCTTATTAGCGAATTCTTTCAGCCGTATCCAATACATCGATATGCATCTGTATACATAGAAGAATGGCCGAAGGACCTTGAAGGATATGGTAGGATCTCGAAAGCTGAGATAAGCGCGAGTCGATTGGCGGAGAGGGCGGGCGGCACGGGGTGAACAGACGGGCCGGACCCCCCAGCTGCCTGAAGCGGCAGGGTAAGCGAGAGGGTTGCAACCCTATTTTGCCCCCAAACGGGCTGGTTGGGTGACGCCGTCGAGAATTCCCTTCAATCCTCGCCCTCTCTACGAGTCCACCTTTTTGCTTTCACCCTCAAGCAGGCCATCATCATCAGCGCCCTCATTCAACCTCCCTCGCTGATCGACTTTTTGTCTCGTCAAGATGGTAGGTCTTTATCCTTCCTAAAGCCCTCTCGATACAACACGCAACACATCTCCATGTCCAACATGCACACCGGCTGCACTGAATGCCATATCGCTATCCCCTCAGTGCCTTAACGTCGCCGTCGCCACCTTATCGCCGAACCATCGAAATTTTCTTCCTGGATCGGACTTGGTCAAGGAATACCTTCGCTAACAGGATGATACATCAATAGGTTCTCGCGGTCGACCTCCTCAACCCCACGCCTCAGGCTGAGGCCCGCAAGCACAAGCTCAAGGTATGCTGATACCCGGATGGAAATGGAAAAAATAATGGATTTGATATCCCGAAATCGAACTCTTGGCTAAGACATTCGGCGAACCAACAGCAACTTGTGCCTGCTCCCCGCTCCTTCTTCATGGACGTCAAGTGCCCCGGCTGCTTCACCATCACCACCGTCTTCTCCCACGCCCAGACTGTCGTCGTCTGCGCCGGTTGCTCCACCGTCCTGTGCCAGCCCACCGGTGGTAAGGCCCGTCTCACTGAGGGCTGCTCTTTCCGCCGCAAGTAAATGTATCGATAATCGCGCGCAATAAAAACCTCCCGTGGTCGGAGCGATGATGAAAGCAATGTGGCGTTCTTCGATGATGATGGATTAATATATCTCGTTTTTTCTTTGAAGGAAAGCAAGATTTCAGATAGAAGATGGAATCCTCGCCCCCCCTTTTTTGTGCGAGAAGCAGTCCCCCCGCAGAGAACCCTCCCTTGCCCAAGGGAAATGAAAAAAAGACAATTTTTGACCAGACATACCCATTTCTTTTTTTCCATATTTCAGAAAACAAAAGCAATTCTTCGGTTTTATCACTTTTGCTTTTCTTCCCTATTCTCTGTTCACGTTCAAAAGAGGGGCGTTCCGGATATCTGGCAACTACGAATCAAAGAGACACTACAGTTTGACAACCATGATTCGGCCCTCGAGAGAGACAAATTCCTTCTCCAGTTTCTATTGCCATTTATCTGAATTCCTTCTTCGATTTGATTGTTTGATATTTCTTCCATGTGCCCTCGTTGATTCTATTGACGGATGTACATCGCCAATTCTTCACAAAACCAACAATCCGGAGCACGACATGCAGTACCACCGCCACGATTGCACGAGCTATGCCGGGATGCCACAGGGACTGGGGATGATTTTGGACGTGGATTGATGGTCAGCAGCAGATGCGACTTGGGAATACGGCTCTCGGCATTTGACATCTCTCTCGTGACGGAACAATCGTTGGTTCGGGGAATCAAGACCTGAAGAGGCTTTTTACCCCAAGGTGGTACTGTATCTCTTTCTCCGTGCGGGTAGCAATCGTATGTTTTGTTCATGGTCATTTGCACTCGTAGTCTAGGCATGCCATTTCCTGCCCCAGTATGGTAAGACCATTGCAACGGCTCCACTCAACACCCCGCAGTAGTGTAGACACTAGGCAAGAGTATCCGGGGATGGGTCTGGAAGTTGGTCTTGTGCTCGGGACTGTAGTGAGTACATTGTGTATCTTGTATGAATGACGTAGGTGCCATCCTCGGAACAATCAACCACTTACTCTTGTCTGTCCACAGTGATTTCTAACATCCCCCAGTTTCAAAGGTGACTCAACCTACTAAGGTCCACTCGGACGAACATCAGGCAGACTCAGGAGGGTAAGACATCCATGATCCTTATCGAACCTTCTCCGCATTCTAACCTCACGAGGCTGTGTTAGCGGATATCCTGCTTAGGTCTAGCGTGTGACGACAATGGTAAAGCGCATAATTGCCCGCTTAGCGTTCAGCTTATCGATAAGGTCAGTCCGGGATGCAAGTATGAATTAAGTAAATTGAAGATGTTCTACTTCATCGGCTTTGTCTCTCCTTCCAACCTTATACTTACTGTGCTGTTGGGTTGGGCTTACATGCTATCATCATCGAGAGTAATGCTGACCTTCATATGCGGTCCAGTACATACGATGCAATAGCGAAGTATCATTTCTTACCATTGATAGTGCCTCATCACTTATCTCATACCCGCGAAGCCTGAAACAGATGTACAGTACCGCGAATATTAGCCCTCAGAAAAGAAGACACCCACCATGATGAACCTTCCTTGAGACATATCTGAGACTTATTATCTGCAGTATGTTGACCCCAATGGCCGTCAGTCCTTATGTGGCTCTCCTCTGTGGCTCTTCGGCCAAGACCCAAGCGCAGAGTGGCTATGCTGTCAGTCAGCTCGCGCGGCTAACCAGGCTGTCCCGGCCTTTTGTCTACCCATTCTGTTCCTTTACCTAGGGCCATGTCACTATCTATCTATCGGCTATCATGTTTAGCGCGAGAGCTTATACGGTTGGCTGGATCTGCGTCATAAGCACGGAGCATGTTGCTGCGCAGGCCTTTCTGGACGAGCTAGTTTCGGCTCAACTTGAAACCATAGCAGACAGTATCACTGCGGTCAGTCATGCGTTCATCTCTGTTCATGAAGATAGAAGTCTTCTCACCACAGACTAGGATTTAGAGCTGAGTCACATAGGATGGGTCTATGATAAAGTCCTGTTTTGGAACCCACCATTGGACTACTCCGCAAAGCAAAACGATAATGTCGGAAGACGGAGCACTAACATTGAGCGTGGTTGTTGAGCTCAAATGCCTTTCTATGCTGGAAAGATACACCAAATCAGACATTATACTGTCCCGGACTCCCGAGCGATATGAAGACAGTCCTCGCGTCTATTGTCATTGAGCACCTTCAGCAGACATTTGAAGGTATGGAGGCAGGAATAGCATATATATATTGCACCTATAATGAGCGCCATAACAGTGAGTGACCTGGTTGCTTGTCTGCTGAAGCAGTTGGCTCTCCAGCTTCCTTCTCTCCCGGAAGAAGCTAAAGATTTATATGAGCTCCATTACCCGCAGAAGACCTCACCTCGCAAAGATGCCTTGTTGCACGCTTTCGATTCAGTAGTCGATCGATTCTCGCGCGTGTTTGTCATTATCGACGCACTTGACGAGTGCCAGTACGAACGAAACCAAGTAGACTTCTTTGACCTCATCCAAGTTCTTGCGCCATGCGCTAATACATTGGTCACTTCACGGCCGATTGGACTCATTGGATAGTCGTTCAAAGATGCTTACGAGAGGAGATCCTGGCATCCGAAGTCTTTGTGAAGCCCTGAGGGATCTTCCAAAGATCTCGGGAGAGATATACCAGGAGGCGATTGGAAGTTTGTAGAGTTAGAATCCAGGGGCCGTTCGTTTGGCCGAGAAAACGCTGCTCTGAATCGTCAACGCATCACAGCCGCTTCGTGTTAAGGAACTTCAGTATCTGTTGGCCGTGCGGGAAGGGAACGTCGATATCGATGATTATGCACTTACTGTACCCACGTATATCCTCTCGATATGCGCCGGCTTAGTAACCATCGATGAAAGAGGCAGTATTTGTCGCCTGGTTCATTATACGGCGCAGGAGTTTCTCAGGGAGAACAGAGCAAGGTATATCCCCTGGGGTCATGTTGAAATGGCATCTACCTGCCTGCAGTATCTGTCCTTCGATGCCTTTGAAGCCGGACCTTGCCTTTCTTTCGATGAGCTGCGCCGGCGGCGAAAAACTCATGTGCTTTTCGATTACGCGGCAAAAGACCTCGGCAAGCATATGTTGGGGGTACATGACAGCAGAATGGTAGAGTTGGCTTTACGCTTTTCCAGAACAAACGTACAGTGGCTAACATCGCGCAGACTCTATTCGTTGGAGAACGTGGAGTCGGCGTACATGACTTCCCCGGCGACTTCCTGGGCATACACTACGCATCATACCTAGGGCTTGCAGACGTCGTCTGCCGGTTGCTAGACCAGAAGAGAGAAGACCTGGACGTGGCGGACTCGTATAGACGTACACCATTAACATGGGCAGCAGAGGATGGGCATGAGACTGTGGTAAAAGTATTGCTGGACAGGATGAGCGCGGTATACTTGGAGGGCGAAGCCGACTGGACATTATTCTCGAACAGCGATGCAAGAGACATCCACGAGAGCGAGCTAGATACCTACATCTTTTGTATGACGGGGTTCTCGCCAAACGCAACAAACATGCTGAGCCGGACACCGTCCTCGTGGGCTGCCGAGGAAGGACTTTAGGACGTAGTCATGGCTCGGCTGGAGAAGGGTGCCACAGTCACCACGGTGGATCGATTCGGAGACACGCCACTGTCTTTGGCAGCAGGGAGAGGTTTTTAAGCTGTAGTCAGTATACTCTGTGAGTACGGTGCTACGCTGCCAACCTAGATAGTTGGTTATTATGTCATTGAAAAACGAGAAGATGATAATTAGGGGCATTGTGATGACCTTATCTGCATAGTGTTAGCAGTCGATAGGGAGCGGTGGCCGCATCTTCCGGCAGAATTGTAGTACAGCGGGACAAAGATCGGCGCTGAGAGTGGTTATTTTTCATACCGCCTCCGAGGGAGCGGCAGAATTATACAGACCACGGGGGAAAGTCGGCCGTCGAAAACTGTTCAACCTGTTACCGCCTTGTGGTGGCAGAATTCCTACCACGGGAGAAAGTCGGCCGTCGAGAGTGTTCAACTTGTTACCGCCTTGTGGTGGCAGAATCACTACCACGGGTGAAACTCGGCCGCTGAAACGGTTCAATTAATCACCGCCCCCCAAAAAGCGGCAGGAATCCAAGGCACCGCCAGGCTCTTATCTTATCGCCGCATCCTTCTCTACTCTGACTCCGCAACGCCGAGTAACTCACTTAATCAAAGGCATTTGTCTCTCTTTTCTTCATCCTTTACTATATCCCTCCCTCTCATAGAGACTCCAACCTTTCACTAATCCTCCTCCGAAGCCTCTCTTTCCACCTTCTCGTTTTGAAATTACAAAATGCCACCCCCAGGAACTCCCCTCAGACTCCTCTGCCTGCACGGCTACACGCAATCGGGCCCCCTCTTCCACGCCAAAACCCGCGCCGTGATCAAGCACCTCACCAAAGCCCTCAGCCCAACCTACACCGTGACGACGAGCTACCCGACCGGCCCGCACCGCCTCCTCCCGTCCGACATCCCGGGCTACGAGCCCTCGACCACCCAAGGTGGGATTGCGTCCACCGAAGAAGTCGAAGACCCCGAGGCCTACGGCTGGTTCCGCCGCTCCAACACAGCCAACCCCCCTCTGTACTCGGGGTTGGAGGAAGGCCTCACCACGCTGGCGCAGGTGATCCGGGATGAGGGCCCCTTCGACGCGGTGGTGGGGTTCTCGCAGGGCGCCGCGATGGCGGCGATGGTGGCGTCTTTGCTGGAGACCGGGCGGTTGACGGTGGTTGAGGGGTTTGAGGATCCCGAGACTGCGTGCAGGGGGACGGAGTTTAGTGGGGTGGAGGGGTTTAAGGTGCCCGAGGCGTTGAGGGCGGTGTTGGCGGATGGTAGTAGTGGTGCCGGGGAAAATGGTGGCGGGAACAGGCAAAAGCAGGGCCCGTTGAAGTTCGCGGTGTGCTACAGTGGGTTCCGGGCGCCGGGGCCGCGGTATCGCGCGTTCTATGAGCCCGGGATCAAGACGCCCGTCTTGCATGTGTTGGGAACGTTGGATGCCGTGGTGGATGAGGGGCGGAGTCGCGCGTTGATCGAGGCGTGTCTGGGGGATCCGGAGGTTGAGGGGAGGGTCGTGTTCCATCCCGGCGGGCATTTTGTGCCGAGTCAGAGGCCGTATTTGGATGCGGTGGTTCGGTTTATTCGGGAGGTCTTGGAGGCCGAGGAAGGAGGCAAGAAGAAGGGGGTCATGGATGAGGATGTTAATGATATGGAGTTGCCGTTTTGAGTTGGTATACAGGGTTAGATAGATAGATGTTGGGTGTGTATAGAGAGAGACAGTGTGTGAGAGACTACTATAGATAATCGTCATACCATTCCTAATCCTCTAACGTCGGGTTTCTCGTTGTACATCGTTTCCCTCAATTTCAACGAGCCTTGCCCTTCTCGCCCCGAGTGGGAAGGATCCGAGCCATCATCTCCTCCTTGGTGATCAGGTGATCAATCCGCTCCAACAGTCCCAGCAGACTCTTCATATCGCTGCTCCATTCGTTCAGCACGTCGTCCGCGTCGCGCGGCTTCGAGAAGTTGACCAGCCGCGCGGGACGGTCGATCTTGGCGTAGATCGTCTTGGACGTCACCAGCTCGCTGATGTACTTCTCCGTCTCGTCTTCCGCCAGGTCCAGCAGCTCCGTCAACCGGCCCATCTGGATGCGCGTGTAGTACTTGGCCACCACCCGCACGTTGTGCTCGATCACCCGCTTGCGGAGATCCTGCCACCGCCGGTGGGCCTGGTCTTCCGCCGACTGGCTCGGCTGCGCCTTGAAGACGTCGGTCTGGCACAGGTGCGGGCCGAACTGCTCCGCCACCATCGGCCAGCGCATCAGCTCGTGGATGGTGAAGAGCTTCACCAGGCGGGCCTCGACAGGCACCGACGACAGGCGCGAGTCCTGCTGGATCCGGTGCAGGAGGTCCGACTGTTCGTTGTCGTAGGGTGAAAGAACGATGTAATACACGATGCGAGCAAGAACCTGGGGAAACACTGTTAGCAAGGATCACCCAAAGGATGTAGGAGGCCAAAAACGTACTGCGTGAAGCTGCTCCGGGTTGTTCTGGACCGAGTCCGTATCCAACACCTCACGGTAGTGCTTGCACACGTCCAGGTATTTGTAGTCATGGTTGGCGAGGATGATCTGTTGCTCGTAGTAGCGCAGCTTAAGGTCGGTCACGTCGTCGTCCACCTCCATGGGCGGCTCATCGGGCTGGCGGGTCTTCTCCCGCTCCTCGGCCTCTTTCTTCAGCTTCTCGATCTCCTCGGCGCTCTTCTTCGGCTTGCGGGCGAAGTACCGCTTGTTGATCTTGCGGCTGAGGATCGTGGCTTGCGTCCAGTCACCCCGTTCTATGCACAGGGCCACTTGCTCCAGGATGAACTCTGTCTTCTCTCTTCGGCTCATCGAGCCGAACGTCTCTACCTGCAGCTCGCAGAGAATGTCGGCGGCGGCCTGGAGGTCGCCTTGGGTCTTCTTGATGTTGGAGAGGATACGGGTGACACGGGCGCGCTCGACTTCAACGAAGATCTAGTGCGGCAAGGCGGCAGTTAGCGAGCGAACCTGGTTTGATTTGAGCGGAGGATGGGGTGCGACTGACCTTTCCCTCGGTGACCGTCCGTAGCGTGGAGATAACTGAGAGCTTGACCTCCAGGTCGGGGGTCTCGTCCAGGAATCCCATCACCACCTGTACCATCTTCGTTATAGCTTGTTTGAGCTGACCATGCTTCTTCGAGAGCAGCAGCACTTGGTCGTTCAGGAGGGTCCAGTCGCCGGAGTCCTTGCTGATTGTGACAATTGTAACGATAATTCGGGATGTGGTGGCCAGATCGGAAGCCTGGAGATGGGCTGGTTAGACGCGGACTTATCGCCGGACGGGGGCAAGGAGGGTCGCACCTGTCTGGCCTGCTTCTCCAACACCAGAAGCTTATCAATGGCACCTTGCACATCGGTCTATAGACAGTCAGCATGATGGGAGCTTCAAGAGAATGCTAGTGCGCTGACCTTGGCAAGCTGCTCTGCCTCGGGGATTAGCTTGTCAGCATCCTTGGAGAAGTCCTTCTCCGGCTTCAACAAGGTTTCGGACATGGTGACGAGGCGTCACTGTAAGTAGAGAGATTATAGATCTGAAGGAAGGGGTATCTAGGGAGTATTGAGTAAGATCACACAAAGTGGACGTGAAAATGGGCGAGAAGATGAGGATGGTGGGATATGATGAAGGCGGATTGTTCGAGGCATGGATGGACGGGCTTCGGAGCTCTGACGTGCAGCTCCCAGCTGCATCACGTGACCTAACAGTGTCCAGCAACCTCCATTTGAACACTATGGATGGTGTTGTTTACACCTGCTACTGTTCCTCTCATGAACAATGTGAATTCGGCCAGGTTGGTCTCTTGTGTCCTCATTTTGATTTTAGTTTCTTATTTTTATGAGTGTCACCAGTAAGATGGATGGCATGCATTATATGTGGTTGGCTATCCCGGAACTCCTCACTCAGCAACTGGACAACCAGAACCATGTTATCCGACCTCTCTCCCAAGACTCTCTGCCTGAGGCCGTGAGCTTCATGGATCAATTTGATCTTCTTTCCAGACTCCACCAACTGGTCATGCCAGGGCCTACCCAATCCGGTAACTCAGAGTAAGCCGACCGCTTATCTAATCCATATCCCGAGCACGCAATCACGCAATATGAGGTTAACCGCATTGGGCGACGAATCTATAAAATCCTCAGGGACAAATGACTGCGACGCCGCGGACATTTTGTGTTTTTTTCGTTGTGATTCATATCGCAGATAGCCTTATCGACCACACTTGGCTGGCAATTGGGAGAATTCGCAGTTCTTATCTCTAGGTTGTCACTAGTCATCTGCTGCGTCGAACATTTCCGCGGAGGTGCACTCTCTATCCTCTCGGAATCCATAAATTGAATCGACCATCCTGAGTCACAGGTTTCAAGAGTGTATTTGAAGAAGTCACGTCGTTTACCCGGTGCTCAGGTTTCTCAACTACTGATCGGAGAAGAGAGAAGTTTGAAAGATACGCCACCCACTATAGCCTGCACTGTCCGCAGTGGCGACTTAATCATCATGCGGGATGCATCAGACACCAGCTCCCCCGCGCCGTTGTTGACGGCGGTCAACGTCGAGTCGCAGGTGCATTTGATTATTGGAGCAAATCCGCTGGCCGCGGCTCGATGTGCGAAGAGCGTCGAGGCCGGCGCAAAGGCCATTCTGGTCACCGTGGAACCGCAGGAGGGGCTGCAATATACGCTTCTTGAGCGGATTGAGAGTGGTTCCGTGCAGTGGGTTCGCCGGGAATTTCAAGATGATGACCTGACCAGCTTGGGGAGGGAAGAAGTCGACCGCGTGGTTGACACAGTCTTTGTTACCCTCGGCGGAAGTGACCCGTGCAGCGCACACATCTCCAAGCTCTGTCGACGGCTTCGGATCCCGGTCAATGTGTCCGATGCTCCCGAGCTCTGCACATTTACGCTCCTATCCACTTACTCTGATGGGCCCCTACACATTGGCATCACGACGTCGGGACGTGGTTGCAAATTGGCGTCGCGACTGCGGCGAGAGATCTCGTCTTCGCTGCCATCGAATCTCGGAAGCGCCATTGACAGACTGGGCGCCGTGAGGAAGCGGCTCTGGGCTGAAGACCACGCAGCCGGACTGTGTGACACGGCACTCGAAGGTGACGAGGACGACTCCACCGGTCAGCGCCATACATTCAACACCCTAGTGACCGAGGACGACATTTCAGCCGCCAAAACCCGACGCGTGCGCTGGCTCTCTCAGATTTGCGAGTACTGGCCCCTCCGCAAGCTCGCCGCCATCACGGATGCCGATATCGAGACCATCCTTGAGGCCTATTCAGCAGGCAAAGACCAACCCACGAGCAGCAGCCAGAACGAGTCGAGCGGTCTGACTCGACGAGGAAAGATTGTCTTGGCTGGTTCCGGCCCCGGTCACCCGGACCTCCTCACCCGGGCCACTTACAACGCCATCCAAAATGCCGACCTCATCCTTGCTGACAAACTGGTCCCTGCACCGGTCCTGGAGCTAATCCCGCGCCGGACGGAGGTGCATATCGCGCGCAAATTTCCCGGCAATGCGGACCAGGCGCAAGAGGAGTTCCTGCAGATGGGACTAGAGGCGCTCCGCCGGGGCCGGCACGTCCTCCGTCTCAAGCAAGGAGACCCCTATCTGTATGGGCGGGGCGGCGAGGAATTCGAGTTCTTCCGCGGCCAGGGCTACGCGCCGATTGTGCTGCCGGGCATCACCAGTGCTCTGAGCGCGCCGCTCTTCGCAGAAATCCCGGCCACCCACCGCGGAGTATCGGACCAGGTGCTGGTGTGTACGGGTACAGGTCGCAAGGGCGCTGCGCCCGCTCCGCCGACGTACGTGCCAACCCAAACGGTGGTGTTTCTGATGGCGCTGCATCGCTTGTCAGCGCTCGTGGAGTCGTTGACCACCGTGCCAGCGGCGAGTGACGATAAAGATGAGTCGTCGCAGCCGATCAGGACGCCCTGGCCGAAGGAGACGCCCTGTGCGATCATTGAGCGGGCTTCGTGTACGGATCAGAGGGTAATTCGGTCCACATTGGAGCATGTCAGTGCTGCCTTCGAGGCGGAGGGGTCCAGGCCCCCTGGGTTGTTGGTTGTGGGAGCCAGTTGCTATGTTCTCCATCCGGCGCAGGGACAGAAGTGGGCGGTTGAGGAAGGTTTCCGGAGCTTGGATGAGTTGTGCTTGGAGACGGGTGGTGATGCTGGCGCTGATGAGAGCTAGTCATTGTGTTGTATGTTGTTATGTTTGTTGCATAGATACCCATAGATGATGTATATGAATGAAACCCCGACGCGGGGATGATAGACTGATGGTTTACCACTGAAGATATGCCTCTTGCCGATTTCTTTCAACTTCCCAGTAGCACTCAGTTTTGATTCCCATAAAAAACGGTCTCCGGGGGAGAACCCCCGGACCCCCCTTTCTTTCAGCTTCCCAGTAAAGCTCATCTATAGTAAGTATTGAACAGCTCGGAGGAAGATATCGACATGATACACAAGATCTCCACGAATCTTGGGTACAAAACAACCAAAACTACTGTTATCCACAAAACCATATGCAAAACAAACAACCTATATAGCATATCATCTATACCAGTTCACTAACTCAGGCACCTACCCAACAACCTCCACAGCAACCTTCCTCGCCGCCAGCAGCTTTGCAATCTTCTCTCTCTGCGCATTCATCTGCCCCAACTTGGCCCGTTGAATCTTCCCCGTTGCCGTCCTGGGAATCTCGCTCACAAACACCACCCCCCCATCCAGCGCCTTATACCTCGCCAGCCGGCCCACTACAAAGTCATAGACATCCTCAACCGTGATTTTAGTTGATGCTGATGTCTTCCTCACCACAAACGCCCTGGGCACTTCCGTCCCACTGCCATCACCTGCCTGCACCCCGAGTACAGCCGCGTCGTCGATGCCGGGGTGCTGGACCAGCACATCCTCGATCTCCGCGGGGGCGACAGAATACCTGCACACTCACACTCACACTTGTTAGCACCCAACCCCAATCGCATACCTTCCGAAGCCATGAAAAAGACAAGGGTAGAGAGAGAAACCTCACCCCCGAACCTTGATAATCTCCTTCACCCTCCCAAACAAATAATACAGCCCCCGTTTACGAAACACCATATCCCCCGTCCGAAACCAGCCCCCTTCTTCCTTGTCACCATTACTGTCTGGACGATTCTTATACCCCAGAAAGATCCCGGGCCCACGGACCCACATCTCCCCGGCCATCCCCTCCTCCGCAATAATAATCCTATGATCCCTGGGATCAACAAGCCTCACCTCGACCCCGTCCCCGCGCACACGGCCAATACTCGCTTTGTCGTGGACGGTATCCGTGGCCGGGGAGAGAAACACGAGGCCGGTCTCGGTCATGCCCCAGTTCTGGGTGACGATGGCGGAGGGATGGCTGAGCAGGGATTGCAGCCGGTCGAGGGCGGCCACGTCGATGGGGGCGGCGGAGACGAGGCAGTAGCGGAGGGAGGCGAGTTTGGGCTTTATGGCAAGGGTGGTCTGGGTCAGGATGTGCACCATGGCCGGGACGAGGTAGGTGTTGGTGATCTGGTGGGTGTGGATGGCTTGCAGGAAGGCGTGGATCTCGAAGCGCGGCAGGCTGTAGACGGGCGAGCCGTAGCGGATCGGGAAGATGTGCGTCCACACCGCGCCGTAGAGGTGGTGCATTGGGATGGCGATTAGACGGCTCGTTGTCGGGTTTGGGGTGGGGTAGTGGCTGCTGAAGTGGTGCGTGATCATGTTGGTGTGCGAGAGGATCGCAGCTTTGGGAAGCCCGCTGGTGCCGCTAGTGCAGAACATCGAGGCGGGCGTGGTGTCTGCCTGGGTTGCGGTGAGGGGGGTCCAGGGGCTGGTGCCGTGGGTTAGGAGGGTGGTTAGCGGGAAGGGTTGGTTGGTTATAGTGGCATCGTTGGTGGTGATCGGTGGCTCTTCTTGGGTGAGGGTGTCGGGGCTGTGGAGGAAGGTCAGGATGGTGTCCTCGGAGAAGACGCAGACTTGGTTCGCTGCGATGCCTCGCGCTGAGGTGACTTCGAGCACGGTGGCGAGGGTTGCGCTGGTGGTGATGATCAGCTTGGGCTCGCCTGCTTTGAGCACGTTATCCAGTTCAAGCGGTGGACTGTCGGGGCCGGCGCCGATATAGACATTCCCTGCTCCAAGGATACTGAAGAATAGGGCTGAGTGGGCGAACTGGTGGAGTGATCTGGCTGTCAGTTATGGATACAGGCAGTTGCGAGGACAGGGGCAGGCTGGCTGGTATACTCACGCTGTTGCCCAGATGAACCAAGACCGCATCCCCGGGCTCAACATAGCATTTCAATCCGGCCACCAGGGTCTGCACGAGGTGCTTGAGTTGATAAGCACTCAGACTGCGCGAGGGATCTCGAGCATCAATGTATAGAGGTCGGGTCTGATCGTACTCGACCGGACCCTTGAATGCGAAAGACACTACATCCATGTTTGCACACCGGTCAAAATATGCTTTGGAAGGAATGCATGTGCAATGGCTGCTTTAAAGCCCTCGATATCTATTGTCGCTTGCATGCTGAAAACTCGGCTATTCAGCCTTGGGCTTACTCGAGACCAATTGGGGTATTCGCCCCCGAGTCAAAGAATGGGTTGCAGAAGTCAGACGCATTGTCTATGAGATTGAGAAGAAAAAGCAAATAAAGATGTCCTCACCCCAACCGTTATCTGTCACACCAATCGAGGAAGACTCGTGCTGCTTGGTGGCTGAAGTTGTTTGGAAGGATCGGGGATGGAAGCAAGTATACTAGGGCTGTACGCAGCCAGCCACTGTCAGTTACCCCCTCTTCTCCCACTACTTAGTCTCGCTATTGCTTGCTACTAAGTCTGCTGAGTCTGCTCAGTCTGCTAGCTCAATAAGTCGTTCGCAAATTGTTACCTCAATCATCCTTAGAAAACGCCTCCGGACCATGCATCTGGACCACCCCCGCCGGACAATAGGCAATGGACAATGCGATCCAGCTTATTCCGGGAAGCAACTCCATCCTGAGCTGACGCTACGTCATCCGTCAGAAGGATTGCGTCCCTTTTGCAAGATCTCGTATTATCAGCTTGGCTTATAGTTCTATCTCTCCCTCGTGTTGGCGTTGGTGTCGGAACTATTTCCCCAATCAGCCCGGCTGATTGGAAATTTGGAAGAAGTAAGACATAGAGGCAGGTCTCAGCCTTCGCACGCGATGCTGAGAGGGGTTCCTGGGGCTTTGGCGTTGGGGACTGACTCGAGGGCAACCCCGCCAATGGTGAGGGGAGGAGTAGATAATCCCGTTCGTGCTAAGGCTGCCACTAATTTAGTACAGTGCATGTACTGGATTGGAATCTTCTGCACCTGGATGGTCATCACTCACTCATCACTCTCTTCCGAGGTAACTAACAATGCACAATGGTACTGTACCTCGTCGCAACCGATAGGCGTCCAGCTTGCATCTTTCCTTAGTTTCAGCTATGATATCCTCGCCCCCACTCAAACGAGGCTGTTCATTGCTTGGAGAATGATGACTCGTTTGGTAGCCAGAATCCTCGAGATAGTGTATAAGCGAGATGGATATACTTTCCGCGATAGCCTGCTGCTGTATGCGAGTTGCAGACCAGGAGGGCATCTTTATCGATTGGTTGATAGAAAGAAGGACAGACAGAAAGGAGGTCGAAAATATGCACTTAACTCCACGCTGAAGAACCGACTCCCTCTTGAGTATAATACTTCGTTCTTTTCTTCTTTCCATACATTTGGTTGAGACCAAGTGGTGTGTAGTTGGGTACTTGCTACCTCTATAAAGTAGGCTACAGTCATGCCTTCCTTTCCCGAACCGATTGCCATTATCGGCACGGCTTACCGCTTCCCAGGCTCAAATTCTTCCACTTCCAAGCTCTGGGACCTTCTTAACTCTCCTCGCAACCTCGCCTCTAAGACCCCCAGCAATCGCTTCAACCAGAATGCATTCTATCACCCAGAGATTCACCACGGTACGGGAAATGCCCCGGAATCCTACTTCCTGTCCGAGAACATCCAGCAGTTCGATGCTTCTTTCTTTAACATCTCCCCCACCGAAGCCGAGGCCATGGATCCTCAGCAACGACTACTGCTGGAGGTAGTCTACGAGTCCCTGGAGCGAGCAGGTCTGCGCATAGAGACTCTACAGGACTCGGACACGGGCGTCTTCTGCGGCCTGATGAACACAGATTACAGCAATATTATCACGAACGACTGGGACGATATCCCGACCTACACTTCCTCTGGCGGGGCTGCTTCTATGCTGTCTAACCGCATCTCCTTCTTCTTCGACTGGCATGGCCCCTCCATCACCATAGATACCGCTTGCTCGTCGAGTCTAGTTGCCATGCATCAGGCGGTGGATGCGTTGCGGAAGGGCGATTGCCCTATCGCCGTCGTGGCGGCGAGTAACCTCATTCTCAGCCCGCGGGAGTATATTGCTGCCTCTAAGTTGCGGTTACTGTCACCGACTGGTCGGTGTCGAATGTGGGATCGGGATGCCGATGGGTATGCCCGGGGAGAGGGTATCGCCGCAGTGGTATTGAAGCGGTTGAGCGATGCAATACGGGATGGTGATCCCGTAGAATGTATCGTGCGTGCGACGGGGGTCAACGCGGATGGCCGCAGCATGAGTCTGACCATGCCGTCGTGGACGGCCCAGTCGAGGTTGATTCGGTCGACCTATGCCAGCGCTGGCCTGGACCCTAAGAGTCGTCCGGAGGATCAGTGTCAGTACTTCGAAGCCCATGGAACTGGGACTCAGGCTGGCGATCCTCAGGAGGCAACAGCGATATACGATGCCCTGTTCGAGGAGAGATCTAGGCCGCAGAACCCTCTGTATGTGGGCTCTATCAAGACGGTCATCGGCCATACGGAGAGTGTGGCGGGTCTAGCCGGCGTTATCAAGGCATCCCTATGCGTCCAGCATGGTGTCATTCCCCCTAACATGCACTTCAATCGCATCAACGCCAGCATCGCACCCTACACCACCCATCTGCGAGTGCCTACTGAAGCGGTACCGTGGCCTACTCTGGCTCCCGGCGTTCCGCGGCGAGTCTCGGTCAACTCCTTTGGATTCGGCGGTACAAATGCACATGTCATTCTTGAAAGCTATGCCGCTCCGATGCCATATCTGCCAAAGATACCTTTACCCCCATTATTGCCACTCGTCTTCTCCGCAGCCACAGAGAAGTCTTTGACCCACCTACTTCACCGACATATTGAATACTTACGAGAACACCCTGAGACCGACCTCATTACCTTAGCAGAGTCGTTGATGCA